GGGGGGGCAGTCGCTCCATCCAGCACTGCAGCTTGTCCATGCATGCTGGGCAGAATGCTCCTTCGGGTCTGCCCCCGCATATTCACCTCTTCATGTAGCCACCTTGATGCGGGTGCTGATCTACTTGGAAAAGAATCGCCCCGCCCCTCCCGTTGCCCTGCTCCAGTGCATTGCACCCTGCCTCCGAGTGCCTCCCGCTGGGAAAGGCACGGGCCTCCGACCATGTTATAGACCTACCCTGGCTCCCTGGAGTGACCCTATGTTGTGCATGGAGCCATGTTTGCCTCTGGGTGCTGGATTTTATGGGACCTGGAGAGGAGACTGTGGAGCCCAAGTTTCTAAAGAGAGACAATTAAAATGTAGCAGTAAAAGGGGAGAGACACAGGATGGGAGCAGGCACTGTGGCAGGGGACTTTGGCCTTTCCCTTTGAGGAGGGACGGTCAGAGCTGGCTTCGGAAAGGCCAGGACACATCCCTCTATGCTAGCAAAGTCCTGAGGGTCGGAGAGGAATGCTGAGGCATTTCATAAAGGGCACAGCCTCCTGCAGCCCTGCTCTTAATGGGCGCTGCTTAATACTGTGTGCTGCCAAGTACGTCACAGCCTCGGTGCCTCCATGTGGGGCAGAGAAGCACCGGGCTGTCCTCGTTTGAAAAATGGGTTTAACGGAGGCACCCAGAGGGCTGGGAAGTAGGAATATAGCCCAGGAGCCCTGAATCCCAGTCCCCTCCCTGCTCTGATCACTAGGCATCACTCCAGTCCTCAAACCAGGACTAGAACCCCGGAGTCCTGACTCCCAGCTCCCCCTGCTCTAACCACTGGACATCACTCCCCTCCTCAGGCTGAGAACAGAACCCCGAGGCCTGCCTCTACCCCACCTCCCCTCTGTGTTTTTTCAGCAGGGTGCCTCTTAGCATGTGGGACATCTCACTGACCCTATTCAAGGTACTCCAACCCCCTGAGGTGCCTTCTCCCAACACCCTTCCCCTGGGATCCCCCATTTTCTTAGCTGCTGGCTCATTTTCCAGCAAGTTCCCTTCGGAAAGGCTGCCGTTGCTGACACCTCTAAGCCAAGCCAGTCACCTGCCCTGCGGCGCCCACAAAATGTTCACACAGTTAGTTCCCCTTTCCCCACCATAAAGCACCCCAAGAAGGCCCTGGGTTTGCAACTCTGCGTTCCCCAGAGGGAGCCAGAGCCCTCCCCTTGAACTGGCCGCATCACGGCGGGCAGACTGGTGGGGTCTGAGCGCTCAGCATGGAATCTCTTCCTGGAACCGGCTGTGCGTGTACCCACCCCAGGTTCCTGCGCTCCCCCCGGCTGGCTGTGGGTTTTGTTAAATGTTATATAAACTCCTGTCAGTGCTCCATTCAGCACCCGCTGGGCCCAGCTTTTTGCGGCTGAGGTTACAGGTGACCTTTCCTTGTCTCCCGTCTGGCTCTAGCCGTCAGCAGCTCCTCGGCCTCGGGGCCAGGACTGAGTTAGGGGACAGGCGGGGGGGCAGAGAGGAAAAGGAGACCGTCCCAAGGGAAGCGTGTGTGGGGGCAGGGGAGGGGGGGCGCATAGCTAAAATAACGAGCCATAAGCCCAGCAGCTCCTCAAACCCTCCCCCTTCTGCCCTTTCCCTTGCTGTTCCTCAGGGCAGTCAGGCTGTAAATCCTGCCTCGGTTGTCAACACTTCATGCAGCTTGTGGGCACAGACAGAAGTTACCTTGCCGCTCGCACCACGCTGCTGCCTTAGGAATCCCCTGGGGCACACATTGAAATGGGAATGCGAGCTGCCGCTGCCCGGTCCCCAGCTCCTTTCCCCTCTCTCCGGGCGCTTTATTACCCAGCATAAACAATGCTCTGATTATGTGTGTGTGTGTGTGTATAGGCCTCTAATCACAACCATACCCGCCCTGTTCCCATCTCCTCGCCTGCGCATGGGGCATGGCTCTGGGAAGCTTCCCTTGCAGGCAGCCCCTACAGGGCATTCCCGCAACACTAGGGTGTCTGCCCTGGTAGGCCCAGGCCCTGTATGGCCCACCCTGAGATGACGAGTTACTGTTCTGTTGTCCCTTGGCCCGAGCGCTTAGCCAATATTCAAGGCCCTTGGCAGGTTGTTTCCAGTAGGAGGAGAAATGGATCATCTGAGTCGGTATTTGTTTGGTGCAATCCTATTGCTTTACTGAGAAGGCATGCAAAGTCCTGGTTCCCTGAACCCAGCACAGACCAGCATTTCCTTGCTCGCAATTCTCAAGCCTGCCTCACCGGCCAGTCCTGTGCCCCAAGGAGTTCTGTGTCTGCTCCCTCTCAGAGCCATGCTCATGATTGCTTCTCGGGCTTTCTGCCTCACACACCCACACACAGCTGCAACCAATCAATGCCCTCACCTCCTGCATCTGTAATTGGTCCCCAGGGAACCCCCTCTTATGTTCTCCAAGTCAGTGCAGCCCAGCGCCTTGGGCAGTGGCTTCTAATATTTGTTACCTTCCTCCATAAAGGAGCTTAGTTGCTTCTTCCATTGAGCTGGAATGAAAGGTGGGTGGCAGCCCCATCAGCGTCAGCGAGGTCTCCGATGTGTATCAAAGACACAGCAGTCCAACACATGTTGATCACATTGGGCCAGGCCTAGTTGAGTCTGAGATGCTCCGTCATGGGTCTGAACTGGCTGGATCTCTGCTCTCCTCAGGGGCCCAGCCTTGATGGGATTGGGGCTGCGGCTTGGTCAACCCCACCCTGAGTGGGGGTGGGATGGGATGAGCTGAGCTGGAGGTTGGAGCCACCTGGGGGAGTGGGACCAGGAGGTTGATTAGACCTGGTTGGTTGCTCTGGGCTTTCAGCACTGGGAGAGGCCAATGCACTGGCTCTCTGGCCAGATAGAGGGTATGTTGGGGTAAAATGTTCCTCCGGATGTTGCTTTCCCCTAGTGTGTGTCCCTCTCATGGCCAGTAAGAATCTTGCTTTGGGCTAATTCACACCCGTCGCTTTACAAAGGGGACGGGGGCCAGCGTCCCTCTCCGCTGTTTTACAAATGGGGAAACTGAGGCATAGCAAAGAGAAATGACTCCCTGTAGCCAATTCAATGAGCCATTGGCAGAGCTGGGAATAGAACCCAGAAGTCCTGGCGCCAGCGCGTGTGATTTGACAGCAGCCTTCCTCCGTGAGCTGCGGAATAAGCTGGGCTGCTTCCCCCAAGTTGCAGCCTTCCTAAGGCTCCGCTGGCAGTCTCCAGGTGGCGTTTGTGCCTGGTCATTACAGAATGATCCTTTGTGCCTTTGGAGTCTCACGTGCGGCTCAAGGCTGATCTTGTGCAGCCCCTTCCAGGAGCTGAGGCACCGCGAGGGGAAGGCAGGCCAGGCCGTGCACCAGCGCACCAGGGCCGCGGGTCAGCGGTGGCAGCCTGTGTAGAAGAGGCTGTCGCATGCCGCTGTCTGGTGGGGACGGCTCTGCAAGTGCAGAGTTGAGCCCTCTCCCACTCCCACCCGCAGCGGCCTGCCAAGAAGAACAGCGACAGTGAAGAGCGGAAGGGACCCGCGCTGCTGCCGGCAGCAGAAATCTGAACCGTGGGCCTGCAGAGGGTGCTTCGTGGCTTGGCCTGCAGGGAGCCATTCCCCCATGGTGTTCCGTGCCAGAAGAGGCGCCATGACGGGGACGGAGTGCTCTGTAGGTTGTGGGGAGGGACTGTGGGCAGACAAGGTGCCATGCACACCCCACCCCTGCCCTGGCTGGGAAGTGCTGCCATCCCACATAACCTCCACCAGGGCTGAATGCTGCCCTGGGGCTGGCTGCTGTTGTCAGGCTGAGGCCAGGCTGTTGGGGCAGCAGTGTGACCCCAGGTGCCTGCAGCTCCTCCCACTCCCTGGGGCGGCTGGAGCTGGGCTAGAGCCAACATCAAGGCCCCATAGTAACCCCAACAGCTGCCCCATACAATGTGACAGGCCCGCCCAGCCCTCCCAGCGCTGTGTGTCCAGGGGGAAGCCTGGCTCCAGCTCCTGTTGATGGCAAGTGGCCAATACAGGGTGATGGATGCTGTCAGGCTGGGGACGGAGCTCTGGACTTGGCCTCCATGCACCAGAGCAAAAGTCAAAACAATCCAGGGTCGTGAGTCAGCAGCGCCCTGTTTAGTTTGCAGCCTGGATAGCCCAGACAGCAACGTCAGCAGCTAATGCTGCCTCTGTCATGTTGACAGCCCAGCCTCCTAGAGCTGTCCAGCCCCTCCCAGGAAAACAGCCCTGGGCACCTTGACACGGCTCCTTGCTGCGGAAGCCACCGGGGAGCAGAGCAGAGGCACAGGCCAAATCAGGGGAGGATAATTGGAGGGGGGCTATGGATGGTGGTGAGCAGGCAGAGTGGGGGGAGGGTAGGGGAAGAGGGGAAGGACCCTGGGTGCAGAGGGGCGCAGTGGGGATGTACGGTGGGGGCTGAGCATGGGGAGGAGGTTGAGGGTGGGCAAAGCAGGAATGGAGGGGAAATGGGTACTGAGGGCGGAGGGAGACTGGGCAGTGGGGCAGGAGGAAGAAGTGATGGTGCTGTGGTGGATGGAGATGGGGAATGGGCATGCCAAGGATGGGTGGCGATGGATGGCATGTGTGGGAGGGGGAAGGTGGGGCTGGGTTTCAAACGTGGGGGAAGCATGTCCTGGCTGGATCTGTCCCAGGCTGGCAAGAGGGGTTTGAAGGGAGTCGAAGGCATTTTGGGGTGGCGGTGGGGTGCATGTGGGGCAAGGAGAGGATTTTAGGGGGGCTCGTGTTAGTTGGCTATGTGGACAACTGTCCTCGGAGAGCGCTAGGCAGGGCTGTGGGATGCTTCCCCCAGGCAGTCACAGGCAACAGAGGTTTCAGTGCCCAAGTTCTAGGCTGTGCCCAAGTAATCTGGCCCCTCTGAGATAGTGACCATCTTGTATTCAATCCCAGCCAGCATGAGAGAAACTCACCCTTCATCCCAGACCCTCCCTGGCCCTATGGCCTGAGCCCTGCAGGGGAGCGGTGGAGCTTTTATGTGTTTTCTTCTCTCTTTTAGAAGGAATGAACTGCATGAACAAGAACCACGGCTGTGCCCACATCTGCCGGGAGACCCCCAAGGGGGGCATTGCCTGCGAGTGCCGGCCGGGCTTTGAGCTCACCAAGAACCAGCGGGACTGCAAATGTAAGAGCCCGGTGCCTGGCTGCTCCTCTCCCCACCTTTGCTTATGGCTTCAGCCTGGGGGATACCAGCCCAGCCTCGTGTCATGAGACCCACCTTTCTCAGGGGGCTTTGGGTCTTGAGGCAGCTCCATGGCAACCACCATTCCTTTGTAAAGCTAATACGTGGCTCTCCAGACTCCCACCCCCTGCTCTAGGCCGCCCTCTCCACCTACCCAAGGAAATGAACCTAAGACCCCCTAGTGGCCAAACTTCCCGCATTAAGCGCTAGACTCAGGAGTCCTGACTCCATCTCCTCCTTCTCTGAGTGCTAGACCACACTGCTCTCCCAAGTCCGGGGACAAAACCCCAAATCCTTGACTCCCAGTCACCCTGCGTTAAGCTCTAGACCTCACAGATCCAGGTAAAGAACCCAGGAGCCCTGACGCCCATTCCTCGCCCCCCAGCTCTAACCATTTAGACCACATCACCTTGCACTTCTCTGCACTTTCCTCCCACTGTCTAGAAATAAAACCGAGGAATCCTGATTCCTAATAAAAGCTTAATAACACCCAGTTTCCAAATGGGTTGATTCCCTGAGGTTTATGGGCCGTGTTTCCAGCCAGCCTCCTTCACTGCTCTTGCAGCATCTGTTGTGTCCGTGGGCGCGGGCCGCTGCCTGCACAGGCTGAGGCAACCCCAGATAATACAGAAGTAATTAAAATGGGGTCCCGACGGCTCAACATCCCCCAGTGAGATCTTTACTAAATCCCGTTGCTCCCTCTTCGCAGAGCTTCAGAGCTCATTCTTTTGCAGAGACAACGGGCCAGAGTCACCTCTGGTATAACGCTGCATGGACTTCACCGCTCTTCCTGGGCCGAGCCTGCTGTCTGATCAGCTTTAGTCTTAGGCCTGGTCTACACTAGGCTTTTATGTCGAATTTAGCGCCGTTATATCGAATTAACCCTGCACCCGTCCACACCAGGAAGCCATTTAGTTCGACATAGAGCCCTCTTTAAATCGATTTCTGTAATCCTCCCCAACGAGAGGAGTAGCGCTAAATTCGAAATGGCCATATCGAATTAGGCTAGGTGTGGATGGAAATCGACGGTAATAGCTCCGGGAGCTATCCCACAGTGCACCACTCTGTTGACGCTCTGGACAGCAGTCCGAGCTCGGATGCTCTGACCAGCCACACCCCGGGAAAATTTGAATTCCTTTTCCTGTCTGGGCAGTTTGAAGCGCAGTTTCTGTTTGGACACCGTGGCGAGCTCAGCAGCAGTGGCAGCAGTGGCAACGATGCAGAGCTCTCCAGCAGAGATGGCCGTGCAATCCAATAGAAAGAGGGCCCCAGCATGGACGGATCGGGAAGTCTTGGATCTCATCGCTGTGTGGGGAGATGAGTCCGTGCTTTCCGAGCTGCGCTCCAAAAGACGGAATGCAAAGACCTATGAGAAGATCTCTAAAGCCATGGCAGAGAGAGGCTACAGCCGGGATGCAACGCAGTGCCGCGTGAAAATCAAGGAGCTGAGACAAGGCTACCAGAAGACCAAAGAGGCAAACGGACGCTCCGGATCCCAGCCCCACACATCCCGTTTCTACGAGGCACTGCATTCCATCCTAGGTGCGGCCGCCACCACTACCCCACCCCTGACCGTGGACTCTGAGGATGGGATATTGTCCGCGGCCGGTTCCTCAGCGGACGGGGAAGAGGAGGAAGGAGATGAGGAGGACGAGGCAGTAGACAGCGCTTACAACGCTGATTTGCCCGACAGCCAGGAGCTCTTCATCACCCTGACAGAGATCCCCTACCAACCCTCCCCAGCCGTTACCCCAGACACAGATTCAGGGGAAGGATCAAGCAGTAAGTGTTTTAAATATCCAAACATTTATTTACAACATAACTGGCATATTTAAAATATTAACAGTAGCTAAAGTGCTTTAAAACATGTAAACATTTATTTGCAACAAAACAGGAAGATTGAAAATATTAACAGTGGGTAAAGTGCTTCAAAACATGTAAACAGGAAAGTCAAACAAAAGGGGAATCAGTGCAAAGTGTATCATGATTACTCCGTCTTTGGGCGCCTCAATATATAGTCCGAACCATTTTCAAAAAATCTCACAATGTCCGCTTCATGATTATAGTGCACAAAACCCTGCAGTCATTTGTCCCTCCAAGGGCACCTAAGCCAAGAACTGGTCAATGTAACCGGGGATCGAGGCGACATCCTCCGGGGAGAACTCCTCATACACCTCCTGCAGGTGTTTTTCAAGCCTCATCAGCAGGTTCCTGGGCAGGGAGAGCTTATTAGGCCCCCCGTGGTAGGACACGTTTCCCTGCCACAACGCCAGCAGGTACTCCGGGATCATGGCCTTGCACAGCAGTGCAGCAAATGGCCCCGGTTTCTGCAGGCTGTCCCGGAGCATCTTCTCCTTCTGGCTCTCGGAGACCTTCAGGAGGGTGATGTCAGGCATGACTCCCTGCTGTGAATTAGGTAGGGGAAAGTTAGTATTGGGACTGCTTGCCCGTCCCTTTACAGAACTGCAACCGCCGGTTTACAGCCACGCGGTTTACAGCCGCGAGGGGCTGGGACAGGGGCAGAGTTCATGCTTGCAGGATTGCTGCCAGCAGAGACTCGCATTGCTTTCTATGTGAAAGGAGGCCAGTGCCACTCTTAAAGTTTTAAGCGGCCACAAGTCTACGGCTTACCATGTTTGCCATCTAGACAAAGTCCGGTGTCCTGCCCTGCTCCTCAGCTCGCCACAGCAAGACCGCAGGCACTGTAGGCGAGGGCCGAAAATTCGACCTTGTCCTCAGTGCGCGTGTGATAGGTGCTCTGCATGGTCTTGTTCACAGAGAAAGACTATGTTCTCTGTTCACAGATACATTGCTCTGTCTCAGGAATTCACTCCCTTTTTCCAATTCCCACAGCCACATCTGCCCAGAGGCTAGCGCACATTAGGAGGAGGAAGAAGAGGACACGGGAAGACATGTTTGCTGAACTAATGGAATGCTCCCGAGCACAGGCAGCCCAGCAGACACAGTGGAGGGAGAACTTGTCCCAAATGCACCGGGCAAACATGGAACGGGAGGAGAGGTGGCGACAGGAGGACAGGCAGGCTACTCAAACGCTGCTTGGACTAATGAGGGAGCAAACGGACACGCTCCGCCGCCTTGTGGATGTTCTGCAGGACCGGAGGCAGGAGGAGAGAGCCCCGCTGCAGTCTCTCTGTAACTGCCCTGCCCCACCACCAAGTCCCATACACCCCTCACCCAAAGTCCAAACACGGAGGGGTGGAAGGGGCCGGGAAAAATTTCACTCCACCCCTGCGGACTGCTCTACCACTAGAAGGCTCTCATTCCCCAAAATTTGAAAAGTCCTTTCCTACCCGCCTCACACAAGACCCCGTCCAAATTTCACCCCCCCGTTCCATGTGCGGTTGTTAATAAAGAATACGTTTCTGTTCATTTCTGTTTCCATCCTCTTCTTTTGGAGGGGAGTCTGTCTGAAGGGGGGGGAAGGGCCTTGGTCATTGGACAGGACAGTCACCTTTAGCAGGGGGCAGGTGCAGCAGCAGGGCACATATGCAGTGCAGTGACTAGTTATCCTGGTTAGTCTGGGAGGTGGTTTTCATGTTTTGTCTGGTGGGGGCGGTGGTGTTGCTCTGTGACTTGGTGGCGGGGGAGGGCAGTTACAGATCTTATGCAGCGGTCCTTACCCTGGATCACAGAGCCGCGCAGCAGGGGATCTGTAACCCTCCTCCCCCTGCAAGACAGTCACATAGCCGACACATACACGCAGTCCCGGCCAGGAGGGCTGGCAGGCTCCGTTGAAACTACCAGTCCACCACCGCGGAGCCTGTCATTCCTGGAGTTTAGAAGCATCATTTGCATCACAACCCTAAACCCGCCCCCCGCCACAGTCTGCGTCCCAGGTTTAAAACATTCCCGCGAAAACAGTAATAAAGACAACGGTGTCCATGAACAAAACAGAACAGATTTTATTTTTTGGGAAGGGGGTGAAGGGGGTATGTAAGTGGAGAGGATAGTCGACGGCAACTGGGTAAAGAAACGGGGGCAGGTTCAGCTTCTCTGTAAACAAACTTAATAGTCACTGGTTGCCCTGCTCACTCAGGAACCTAGCTTTCAAAGCCTCCCGGATGCACAGCGCGTCCCGCTGGGCTCTTCTAATCGCCCGGCTGTCTGGCTGGGCGTAATCAGCAGCCAGGCTATTTGCCTCAACCTCCCACCCCGCCATAAAGGTCTCCCCCTTGCTCTCACACAGATTGTGGAGCACACAGCAAGCTGCAATAACGATGGGGATATTGGTTTCGCTGAGATCACAGCGAGTGAGTAAGCTTCTCCATCTCCCTTTGAGACGGCCAAAAGCACACTCCACCACCATTCTGCACTTGCTCAGCCGGTAGTTGAAGAGTTCTTTTTCTGTGTCCAGGGCGCCAGTATAGGGCTTCATGAGCCAGGGCATTAGTGGGTAGGCTGGGTCCCCGAGGATCACTGTAGGCATCTCCACATCCCCAACAGTTATCTTGTGGTCCGGGAAGTAAATACCTTCCTGCAGCCGTCTAAACAGACCAGAGTTCCTGAACACGCGAGCGTCATGAACCTTGCCCGGCCATCCGACGTAGATGTTTGTAAACCGTCCCCGATGGTCCACCAGTGCTTGCAGCACCATTGAAAAGTAGCCCTTTCTATTGATGTACTGGCTGGCCTGGTGGCCCGGTCCCAGGATAGGGATGTGAGTCCCATCTATAGCCCCACCGCAGTTTGGGAATCCCATCGCGGCAAAGCCATCTATGATGACCTGCGCGTTTCCCAGAGTCACTACCTTTGACAGCAGTACCTTGACGATTGCCTTGGCTACTTGCATGACAACAACCCCCACGGTAGATTTGCCCACGCCAAAGTGGTTCGCGACTGACCGGTAGCTGTCCGGCGTTGCAAGCTTCCAGAGGGCTATGGCCACTCGCTTCTGGACAGTCAGGGCTGCTCGCATGCGGGTGTCCTTGCGCTTCAGGGCAGGGGACAGCAAGTCACAAAGTTCCAGGAAAGTCCCCTTCCGCATGCGAAAGTTTCGCAGCCACTGGGATTCATCCCAGACCTGAAGCACTATGCGGTCCCACCAGTCCGTGCTTGTTTCCCGGGCCCAGAATCGCCGTTCAACAAAATCCACATGCCCCATTGCCACCGTGATGTCCTGGGCGCTGGGGCTCGTGGTTTCTGACAGCTCTGTGCTACTCTCCGACTTCAGGCCCTCACGGCGGTGCCGTAGCCTCCTCGCCTGATTTCTCTGCATCTGCCTCAGGGAAAGGTGTATGATAAGCTGCGAGGTGTTGAGAACGGCCACAACTGCAGCGATGGTCGCAGCGGGATCCATGATCGCAGTGCTGTGGCGTCCGCGCTGTCACTGATCAAAAAGTGCGCGAACTGATTTCCCGCCGGCGCTTTCAGGGAGGGAGGCAGGGCGGTAGTGACTGACGGATGCCGACAGTTACCCAAAAGCACCCTCGCCACATTTTTTTACCCAGAAGGCATTGGGGGCTCGACCCAGAATTCCAATGGGCAGCGGGGACTGCGGGAACTGTGGGATAGCTGCCCACAGTGCACTGCTTCCAATGTCGACGCTTTCCCTGGTAGTGTGGACTGACAAAGTCGAATTACTGTCCTTAGTGTAGACACACACGTTCGACTTTCTAATATCGATTGCACATATTCGATTTAACTAAAATCGAACTACTCTCGTAGTGTAGACATACCCTTAAAGTAGAAGATTATCTCACCCTAGTGACTGGCACCAGAGAACCACAAGAATCATCTGCTTGGGGACTCGCTGTTGTCAGCCCCTCTGATCTCAGGCCAGGAATTCACTGCTGCTGCCAAGATTTTAATTTTTTTTTAATATTTTATTTATTTGATTGTTATTTTATTTGTTCTCAGCAGCGAGGATGAAATGGAGCTTGAATCCAGCAAACCGATTCTCACTCTGGGCTAAGTTAAAAGAGTAACTGCCTGCTTAAGAACATCGGGTCGGATTTTCAAAGCACCTAAGTGACATAAGAGTTTTTGAAAATCCCACACATCTCCAATAACAAATTTTTTATTACTGAATAAACATTACCATGCTGGACCAGATCAGTGGCCCTTCTAGCCTGCTCTCTGGCATTGGCAAGTAGTAGATGCCTATGAGAAAGGAGCAAGAAACCCCATGGTAGTGTCATTCTGCTAAGATTTCTGCAGGGAAAGTCAGAGACTTAGAAATGGCTGATGAGGATTTCTTTTTAACCATTGTGGCTGAGACTTTCCCAGCTGCCTAGGGGATTGGGAATGGGGCAGCTAAATCTACTAGAGAGAATTACGTCTCAGCTTAAAAATTTCTGCAAACCCTGGATTTTAAATCCTTTCATAAATTTTAAGTTTAAACCATCCACGGTCTCCCGGAGCAGTCTTGGAGCTAAACCCTGTTGTTCTGTGTATTTGGGACTGTCCTATCAGTTCCTGTTCCTATAGAGTTGAAGGCCAAATGGGACCATTGTGATCATCTAGTCTGACCTCTTGCATAACACAGGCCAGAGAATCCCACCTGCTCCAAGCTAATAATTATTATTTTCATTTCTGCTACTTGGGTTTCCTTGGGATTTGCACTTGGGACCTCCAGCACCATAGGCAGGAAGCCCAGCACTAGGCCATGATGCCAGCTCCCTACTTCCCCTTCGAATTGTGTAAGGTATTGTCCTCCAAGTAGCGATGAAATGGCAACAGCTTTCAGTCACTACCAATCGGGGCCAAGATTTTCAAAACTAACTAGCAATTTTGAGGGCCCAACTTGGGGCACCTTTAGGGGCCCTGATTTTCATGGGCGGGTGTTCAGCACTTTCTGACATTCAAGCCCCTTTAAAGTGTCTGAAGTCAGGCACCCAGAATCACTCGTCACTTCTGAAAATCTTGACCCTAGGCTGGATTTGAACTCGCAACCTAGGGTGACAGGATCTAGATCTGACTCACTCTAGAGCCACTCGTTCCTCTCACCTCACCTCGGCTGGCTTTCTCACGCGGCTCTCAGCCTTCCACCTCTTGGACACCAGTATAAACGTGGCCCAGCTGGGTATTAACTGAAAGTCGCTACCATGGGATGGTGCGTTGGCCAGTGTGAATCGAGCTGGGGAGATATGTCCCCATGACAAAAACTGCCAAGGTTGGGAAGAAAGGCCAGAGACAGACAGGGCCGTAGGGATAGAACGTCTCTCTCACATCCCTAGAGATGATCTAGATGGCTTCAACATCAGGTACTGGGTCAGATGGACCAGTGCCCTGCTCAGGATGCGTGACTAAATGGATTGTTTAGTGTGGCAGGAGATGGGATGCTGGCATAAAGGGACTGTTTGGTGTGGCAATTCCAATCTCCAGATAGCCTGCATTCCCCTGCTCATGTGCATTCCAGATCAAGAGCGTAGGATGATGATGTTTGGAACCTGCTCTAGGCTGTTGCCGACTTCTTGACTGTGGGTTCTTTGCCCCCTGCAGTGACCTGCAACTATGGAAATGGAGGATGCCAACACACGTGTGACGATACAGACCAAGGGCCCAAGTGTGGCTGCCATGTGAAGTTTGTGCTGCACGCTGATGGGAAAACGTGCATAGGTAGGTGAGAGCTGTAGCTTAGATCACACCTGTGTGTGTCTGTGTGTGCGCTCTGGCTGGGCTGTGGATCTCAGCGCTCTTGCACTAAGACTACTTGCTTACAAGGCTGCTGCCCCAGACTCCACTGAAGTTCACTGAATGCTCCCTCTCTCCTACCTGTAACACTCACCGGCCTGGGATCCAGAGCTGTATAAACTGCTGTGAAAGGTTTATTCTCTGATCTGTCTCTGTACAGCCAAACAGTTGGCTCTGGGTCCCGCTCTTCAGGCTTCCAAGACATTGTGGAGTTTTCCCCCACAAGAAATCTAGGTATTCTAAAGAGCAGCACAGATTTTCTCTGTGTGCGTGTGTGCGTGCTTGCGTGTGTGTGTGTGTGTGTGTGTGTGTGTGATCGATCCACTGCTCAGCTGCACATCATAAGCCCTGTATTGCTGTCCGGTAATTGGAGAGTCTCCTTTAGTTCAAATGGACCAACAATAATTGGTTGTTTAATAGAGCTGGACTAGAATTGGACTCAGTATGTTTGAGGATGTTTCTAAGTAATCTAGCAAGGGTGGGGGAGTCTTTTGTACAGGCTTAATTAATACATAGATCTATATATATTACATGACAGCATGTATTGTAATTGCAGACAGCTGTATGGGGTACATGTACATTCACTCACGTGCTCTTGTGCACATGGTCACGTGGATAGTTGCACATGCACTCCCAGTCCTGTTCTCACACTCGCACACTTTTGAGCAGACACATGGGAAAGTTCTCTAGGAAAAGAATTAGAATGCCTCGAATGAGGAATCTGAAGCTTTGTTCTGGACTAGCTGTTATCTTCCCTTGTGTTGTTATCCTCTAGTCTTTGGGGAAGGATGAGGGGGGAGTTAAGATTTGGATGTGAGTCTGTTCCCAGCAGGAACTTGGCACCATGAGGTTTCAGCCCACCAACAATTGTCTTGCAAAAATGAAAAAACAAAACCCAACAACCCCCAAAATCAGCTTTTTTTCTCTCTCTGTTTTCAAATTGTAAAACATCAAACAGAGATAGAAGTTTTACTAGTTTCAGATGCTTGCACAGCTTAACAGCTGATTTGATTTAAAAAAATGTTACATTTGGGAAGTGATTAAGTCCACAAATTGCTGTAAACATGTTAGCTCTTACTGCAAAATAAAAAAGGAATTAAAAGCAACTGAGAGATTTAGCTCTTTAAGCCCCTGCTGTGCAGGCACAGAAAATGCCCTGCACATGAGGCAGCTTCATTCTACAAGCTAGCACCAGGACAGCCCATCTCGTCCCTCTCCTTGGCCTGTGACTGTCCCCCTGTTTCACACACGTGATCTGTCCAGTCTAACTTTACACCTCCCAAGGAACCGGGCTCCCACCCCTGCCTCCTGGGAGATAATTCCCCACCCTCAGAGATCTCTCTGCCAGGAAAACTTTCCTGACATTCAGACCCCAAGTTTTCCCTTCCTTAATTTCATCACATTACGCCTAATTCTACCCCCTTTCGCCCCCCTAAATAATCTCACTCCTTCCTTGGTGTTTACAGATGTGTGTCCTGTTATCCTGTTCCCCCTTAGACTTCAGTGAGCCAATCTCTGTGTATTTACTTCTAGTCATCTCTCCCTCTTACCCCCCCCCCCCGAACATCTGTGTTCCTCTCCTGTGAACACCCTGCAGTTTGTCAATATCTTTCTGGTACCAGGAAATCAATGGCAAAGCTCCCATTAACTTCAGCGGGAACAGGATCGACCCCATGGAGAGGAACTAGTGCCTCCCTGCTCCGGGATGTGATGCCTCTACCTAGGCAGCCCCAAGCGGCTTCCGGCTTTTTGGGGGGCAATATTGCACTGCAAATGCCTGTCTGAATTATTGTCCACCATCACCCCTAGACGTCTCCCGGCCCTGCTGCTTCTCCAGTCTCTCCTTCCCATTGTATAGCTCTGCTTGGGAAGTTAGTGCCCCTGGGTGTATTAGTGCTTGCATTTCCTCTGAGTTGAATCTCACTGTGTTCGGGTTGTTTTCTGATCACGTTTTCAGTCACTCTGGCTCCCTTGGTATTTCTCTGTCCTCCCTGGTGTTTTCAGCTCCTCCAGTATAGATTTATCTGTAAATGTAATGAATGGGCAGCTTAATCCTTGGTTCTGCGTCATTAACGAAGAGATTCAACTAGACCAGACCTAAGCTCTCTGAGACAGGGAGTGTCTTTTCATTCTGTGTTTGTACAGTGCCTAGCATTATGGGCTCCTGGCCCAGGACTAGGGCTCTTAGGCGCTACCACAGTACAAATGATAAATAATAATTAATAACGTTAGTCTCTGTGGTACCTCCCCTTGCTTTGATGCTTTTTATTACCCTTTTTCCATGGCCCTTCAGCCTCTTTTCGATCCTCCTACTGTCCATTTTCCAATCACAATTGTGTTACTCTAACAAAAAAAAAAAGTGCAATTGAGTGACCAGATCTAGTCTTTATAAACCATTGCTCACGTTTTCATTATCTTCCAGAAGTTTAGTGATTTTCCCCCTACCCTCCCTTATTAATTGAATATGAATAAAAATTAAACTAACGGCAGTCGTGGCCAGGACTGGCCTCCTCACCTTTCTTTGAAGTTCAGTACCATATTTACGTTTCTCCCACTCTCATGTCAACACCTCAGTTTTCTACAAAAAAAAAAAAAAAAATCCAGCGGTATAGTAAATTGGGTTGCAGATTCCCTTGAGAGAATCTTTCTTCTACAGACAGCAGGTTTTTTCTATGGTCTTAACAGGGAAAAAGACGAGGGGCCAGATTTTTCAAGATGTTTAGGTGCCTAAAGATGCAGATTGCCTAGCAGAATTAGGTGCGTAACGGCCATTGACTTCAATTGCACTTAGTCACCTAACCTGCTTAGAGCTTTGTAGTTCCCACTCGGCCCCTATTTGCATCTTTAGGTACTTCAATATCTTTGTAAATATGTTTGATTTTTCCAAATATTCCCTTGCATTCTCTGTGCACAAGTCGGGCAGGGCTCCTTCCATCCTCTGGCCTAACCATTCCTTCTGTGCCTGGGTAGTCTAGTGGTTAGAGTTGAGAACTGGGTGCTCTGGACACCTGGGTTCCACTCCTAGCTCTGCCATTGACTCACTCTGTAACTTTAGGCAAGTCATTTCTTCTTCTGTAGGTGCTTCTGTTTACCCACCAGTAAAATAGGGATAATACCTACCTTCCAGGGCACCGGAGCCTAATGCTTTAATGTCTAGCTAGTGTTTTGAGGTCCTTATTTGAGGCCTGTACAGGGTTTCAGGATAATGTTCTGATGAGGGTCAAGATTTTCAGCAGTGTCTAGGGATTTAGGAAACACAGCTCGTGGGGCCTGATTTTTAGAGGGTCTCAGTGCTCAGACATTTAAGGTATCTCATCAAGTTGAGCCCTAGAATCACTAGTCACTTCCGAAAACCTTGGCCAAAGAATCTCCAATCATGTTTTCCCAGCCCCTTAGAAAACATTTTCCTGTGCGATTCAGTACACGTAGTTTATCTTCCCATTAACTCACCTCCATGCATGAAATTAAATACAGCCACGAAGCATTTTAGTAGTAACACTGGCCACCCCAATCCTGACTAGCCGCTGATGCTCCACTCCGGACTCATCCCAAGGGGTCTGTTCACTGCATCCACTCTGCTGTTCCTTCCTCCCGCAGCCATGTGAGTTACGGACATAGCGTCCCTTTCACACTGGGCCAGCTTCCAGCATTGCCCGGCCCTTTGTCTGGTGAGCCGCGCTCTGCCCCGGGCTACACCCGGCTGTGCTGATCAGTGTGAGTGAGGGCAGGGTCCAGCCCGGCACGGTTGGTAGCATCGGAGTGCATCTGAGTCCCCTAACTGCGCCCGCCTCGAACAGTGCAGGATTGTGCTGCCAATCCCGCCTTCCCTGCAGGGATGCCCGGCCGACAGATTTATAGTCAGGCAGGAGGCTTGGGTACCTGCTTGGATATTTATAACTGCTCTTTTTTGTTTTACGGCCAGGTCTCAGCAAACAGCTTCCCTTGCTCCCCCCAGCCCTCCCCCTCCCCCCTCCTTCTCCATTTCCTCGGAAATACTTCATCAGTTCAAGGGGAATAAAGTTTCCAAGGAGGGGAGTGCAAACCTGCTCCCCAGGCCGAGAGCTTTGAAATTGAATGCGGTGTGTTTGAAGGGCCGCTGGGAGCAGGCTCCTCATGCAGGTCTCTTTCAGCTCACACCAGCCAGCAGGAAGCAGGGTGGCTTCATTTGAATGACAGTTTCATTAGGCCGCGGCCGGTGTTTTTCATTTTTCTGCTCTTTATTGCTGCTTTTAAAAATGCAGATAATGAATAACATGCCTCTGAGCGGAGCAGGGGCCAGCCCTCATGACTCCCACCCTGGCTCCAGGATCGGAGGAGGGGAGGCCAATGACCTTATGTATTTATGTTTATTCTCTCAAACAGCCTTTTCAACAGCCCCCAAACCCGCCCCGCCCTGTAGATTAAAGTGCTCTGCAGCGCGTTGGGTCAGGTCAGCCTCACACGATGGGAGGGGCTCGTTCCGTCCGCTGTTAGAGACGCCAGAGGAAAGCAGCAGGCCCGCAGTTGTGCGCTCAGCTCTGGACTTGAGGCTTTGTGGTTCCATATGGAGAAAACATGTCTGTGAGATGCACTGTCACTGGTGGAGGTGTCAGTCACCCTGCTAAAGTGCTCCCCAAAGGGGTGGTTTGTGCTCCCCAGAAATGGCAACGCTGCTTTATAGCACGCTCCCCAGATGCGCCAGCGCTGCCCCTGCATTGGGATATAGCACACTCGCCAGCGCTGCCCCTGCATTGGGATATAGCACGCTCCCCAGACGCCCCAGCGCTGCCCCTGCATTGCGATATAGCACGCTCCCCAGACGTGCCAGCGCTGCCTCCCCATTGCGATATAGCACGCTCCCCAGACGCGCCAGCGCTGCCCCTGCATTGCGATCTAGCACGCTCCCCAGATGCCCCAGCGCTGCCCCTGCATTGGGATATAGCACG